GCTTTGCTAGCAGTGTCAGAAAACTGGAATACTTTTCAGATTCGAGACAAGGCAGGAAAACAGGGATTTTACTGACAATAGAAATCACTGAAAATCGTATGAAATATGTATCGTATTCAGAATAAGGTAAAGAAACAGGACTTACGCAAAACATTTACGTGTGTTGTATTTGACTTCCCAGTACCCACTGAGTTAGAAACCACACAAGAATAAAAACCAGCATTAGTGTATTCTATGCTTCTGAAAAACAGAGTTTTTCCAGCTCTTATAAATACTTCTCCTCTGTACCATGCAAATTCACATTTGAAAGGATTACTGGAGTCTATGGTGCATGTTAGATTGACACTGGTTCCTTCAATCATGTCATTAGATGGATTCATCACAATCGTGACATTCTTAGGAGCATCTGGAAATGAGAAAGCAATATTATTTATTGTAAAGATACAATCGCGAATGTACACGAAGCATGCTTATAAATGTTTTCCATTAGGTTTGGATTTTATCAGGTGTCCTATGCAAGTCAATAGTGTCAATATTTAGATTTTTCCTCTATAGATTACTTTCCTGGAAAATGACCATCTAGTTCTTTCTAGGTTAAATTGTGATGTGATCAAAGCAGTTAAGGGAGAAGATTTTACTTGTTCAACTTCAGCAAACTGTGGTGACACTTAGAAATCTTGTTAGTTGTCTTTTAAAACTGTGTGTTATGATGATCAATAATTCACTTACATTTGACATCAATTACAACGACAGAGGAGTTTGCTATCCCTAAGGCATTCTTTGCCTGGCAAAAATATCTTCCCTTGTCTGCAATTTGAATTTTTTTAAAAGTATATTTGTTTACAGAGCCTATGATTCCTGTTCCCTCTTTAAACCAGGTGTAAGTCAGAATTTCTGGATTTCCTTTGCTAGAACATGAGAGAGTAACTTTATTTCCTTCATTCACAGACTCAGGATTGATAGTAGCTGTTGTCTCTTTAGGAGGATCTGTGAAAGAAATACATTAAAGAAGTTAGTGCTGGAGAAATAAGATTATTTTTATGCACGTATATCTGGACTGCGTGATATATTCACAAAGTGTAGTGGGAAATTATGTAGGACGCACAACTTCACATCTTTGCAAATATTTGAATTAAATTCGATTACTGTTCATTGACTAAATGTGCACAATTCATAAGGTAGAAAATGGATATCCCCTTTAAACTTTGTGGAAGATTTGTGGAAGATAATTGCTTTTTTATACCAAAATAACAAATAAACCTACAAAACAGGCCCTCTAGAATAATACACAAACTACAATCGAAATATTAACATCTTGTAATGATAGACTCAGGCTGCCCCATGACCCTGTATTGTGTAAACACCTAGAAAAGGGGTGTCTAGATGCGTATCTTGTGATGAAAATGAAACATTTTGATATTCCCCTCCCTTAAGTAAAATTGACCAGAATTGTATTAGTATGTGTACAGTATGTAGTTTAAACTATTATGAAAACAGTCATACAGCAAATACAACAGTGTACAGTATACAAAATAAATCAAATACAATTTAATTATAATACAATGCAGAAAACACAGCTGACGCAAAGTTCTCATGAATAGCCTACTTCCTGTCTCGAATTGCACGAATCAAAGAAACGTCTTGTCCTACGAGTATATATGCGTCAAACTGGTCACTGTCAACCCACCTCTTCGTTTCTTCAAAATCTCGATTTTTAACTCTAAATCAGGCACTTTTCTTCATTTGCTGGAGCCACATGGAAAGTGATGCTACACAATAAAGATGGATCCAGCCTGCTATAGGCTCTATAATAACTTCCTAAAGTGTAGCTCAAGAGCATGCCCCACCAGATTAAAATTTGCTAAATTTCCCCCATTATTCGATTCTTTTATTTATTTTTCCTTAACGCCGACTGCATTTTAATAAAAAAAATAGGAGTGAACATGAATCTTTAACTGAAAGCTAAAGGTTTTAAAAAACATTTTCAGATTTCTTCATAATATCTGTAGGTTTACATTCAAGTACTTAAATGAAATAGGTATAATTTTTGGTTATTTCTGAAACAAACAAGACAAGATTTATGTTAAAATCCAGACAAGGTTACAAGTAAAAATACTTTTTTATTTTGTTTTTTTTTTATCAAAAATGGCTTAGATGGTGCTGAAGTTCTGTTTTACAGCTTAATAAGAACTTTCTGAAGCAATCATACAGTATGATATCTAATTATGTTGAGCAGGGAGCTGCAAAGACCCAAGCAGAAGTTAATTCCATTCGGAATGGGACATGTGAGGGAGATATACAGTACAAGGCAAAAGTGTGTTAAAAAGCACAAGGGAGAGGGAAACCTTGACAACAGGTAGGAACACAAAAAATCAGGCTGAAATGAAAATATGTTGACAAATTCTAGGGAAGGTATGGAAGGCATTAATCTGTAAATGAATGTAGGTGGACATTAGTTAATCACTGGGGTAATTTGTGAACCGTGTTTATGGATTTTTTGGCTTCTGACATCCTTCTGGTAGTGAATCTTTGAATCACTGCCAAGAAACAGTGACAGAAAAATCGATACAATCATGACTGGAAGGGATAAAATTAAGAATTCTTGACTTGGAGAGACCTTTGATCTTCATACTCACTTTCTTAAAAAAATTAAACTATATACTTGTATGTTGTGCCCATGGACTAATTTAAAACTTATTTAAAATAAGTCAAGGACATATATTTATGCACAGTATATCGACTGAGAAAACAGGGTGTTATTATTCCACACAAAGTGAAAGATAAGAAAGGGATACTTACATAAAACTCTTAATTGTACTGTGTCTGATACATCCATCCCGACTGCATTTTTAACTTCACACTTGTATTTATCTTCATTATTTGTATAAGTTATATTGTTGATGTTGAGGTTTGAGTCTTTTCCACTGATGACTTTGTCATTCTTGTACCATGTGATGGTGACAGTGCTTGGATTTCCGGTTTCAAAAAGACAGACCATCTTCACATCCACGCCTTCTGTTAATTCCTTAGGTAAGTCTGGAGACTCCTTAATGCTGGTGTTTTTAGGTTTGTCTGATGAAGTAAAAGAGAGTTAAAACACATCACACACTGAAGGAGAGAAAGCATATTTTTTCCCAAGTTATACACTTTACTGTATATGTTATGAACAGAACAGAAACCAAACTAAATTGGGGTTGATTATATCAGATACAGCATTCTTACCACCTGATACCCTTACTGCAGTTAATAAAAATAATTATTACACTTATATAGTGCTTTTCTGGACACTCCACTTAAAGCTCTTTACAGGTAATGGGGACTCCCCTCCACCACCAATGTACAGTACCACCTGGATGATGCGACAGCAGCCATAGTGTGCAAGTACGCTCCCCATACAGTAGCTCTCAGTGGGAAGGAGAACAGAATGATGAAGCCAGTTTATAGATGGAGGTTATAAGGAGGCCATGATTGGAAAAGTCCAGGGGGAAATTTGGCCAGGATGCCGGGGTAACACCCCTATTCTTTTTGAGAAACACCCTGGGATTTTTAATGACCACAGAGGACCTCTGTTTTATGTCTCATCCAAAGGATAGCATCTTTTGTACAGTATAGTGTCACTATCACTACACTGGGGCACAGACAGAAGGGTGAGTGCTCCCTACTGGCCCCTCTAACACTTCATGCAGCAACCTCAGCTTTCCCAGGTTGTCTCCCATCCAGGTACTGGCCAGACTCACACCTGCTGAGCTTCAGTGGGTTTCCAGTTGTAAATTGCAAGGTGATATAGTTGTGGGCAATTATCATAGACAAAACCTCCACTGATGATGATCCTGCTAGAAGAATGGGATCAATTTAGCTTGCAAATATTTCCCACATGCATATCATGTGGTTTTCAGGGGTGGTATTTTATCCCACAAATGACTAGGTAGGTCCACTGTGTGCGGTATATTCAGTGTGATTGATTATATTCTATTGATTTATTGTATGCAATATGAACATGGAAATTTTGCAGCCTTTTTCATGTGTTTAATGGGTTCTGAAGCTGAGGATGAATCTCTACTGGGATGTAAAACCAGTTTGCTGCAGTAAGGCGTGTTTGTGGACCAGTTAGTGGCATGCCTCCCCTTGGACCAAAATTAGTAAAAACTGTCCTCTAATAAGTTGAATGGAGACAATGGGTTGTAGACTGCACCATTATTTGTATAAGATATTAAGCTGACCTATCAGTCATGCATAGGATTCTTAACCCTGATTACTTGGTTCCAAGAGATCCCATGCGCTGTTACTAAGACCAGAAGCTCTAGTGTTCCAGATAATGACCACTTTGCTTTTTTACATTCTGACCACCCCAAGTTTCCTCCCAATTAGATTGCTAAAAGACTTTCTTATTTCATCAGACTTGTTTTTTACTCGGACTGTTGGAGCCGAATGGCTGCCACATGTCACACAGATGGGTAATTCAGTGCTGACAGAAGTGGGTTCGTTGCAATATGTGGGATCAGGGAGGGATGAGGTTTAGATGAAAAGTGGTTTATCATGACCATTATTGTACTGCATATTATTACTCACATAGCACATCCAGAGAGAAGGCTTCCGATGTTCCATTTCCCACCTGGTTGAAAGCTATACAGTAATATTCTCCAGAGTCATGTCTGGAAATGTTTTGAAACACTATGGTGGAGAAGGTGTCATTTTTCCTTAAAACGCCATCCGTGTACCAGTGGTAAATGGTGACATTTGGGTTAGCAGCCTCCACTTCACAGACCAGTGTCACCCTGCTGTCTTCTATTATTTCAGAGATGGGTTTGTCAGTTTTTACTCTTACCACTTGAGGGGCAACTGTAAGTAGATAAATTCATAAAATATATTTTACTGTTGATTCATCAGTTACATCTGTAATGGTATATCATTGCATTCCATAAACAGTAAAGGACAGTGAAAGCATGAAATAATTATAAAAGGAGCATAAATCCACAGTAAAAGTGCTTCATCGTGAGCCCATTCCTCTCTGCTGGGATGCCAAGGCCAGTTCAAAGATGGCTGTCCTTATACAAATGTGGTGAAATACTGACCTCTACAGTTACAAGCTGGTTACAAGACAACGTCAATAAAAAAAGCCTACTGCAGGTTTGTCTATCAGGGTATCAACTTCCTGCATAACAGACATAGCTATGAGGGTTCACAGTGTCACTGATGGGTGATGGTGGATCAGCCATGGTCCAGACAGTCCTGGGCACTTCCCATAGTAGCAGATTTCACTTCTCTCTAATGTTTCATAGCCAGAATTGTTCCTGGTGGTGTCATACTGGTTGGGTTCCAGTTAAACCCACCACACTCCTTTCAATCCAGCAGTTCAATTCACTACTTATAGCCCCTTGCAGATTTTCCTGCTTACTAGAGGTTGGACCATCCAGAGCAGAGCCTGTTTCCTGAAGGAGGATTCAACACACCTCTGGCATTTCTTTTGTTGCACTGGGAGTCGATATCTACCCTGGACAAATGTGCACACAACAAATCTACCACTTCATCATGCAAGATCATTTCAGTTTACCAAACAATCCCAGCTTATATTAAACTTCTAAAGCACTTTCAAGGTCTTCAAAACTTACAAAGTCTTTCCCTCCTCTCAGCTGAGTTGCATTCTCACTAATTATTCCAAATCACAAAACAGGATGTTAACATTCCAATATCAGGAACTCATCTCTACCTTACAACAGAATACCAGACTTATTGAATCCTCTACTGGCCATTCTTGTAACTGCATCCTTTTAAAAGCCCACCACACTATTTATGAATATGAATGAATGCATTAGTAGTTGCAGCTTTTGTTCCATGTTTATGGAAACACCTTTGCACAAGCAACATACACCATTGTACTCACATGTAATGTTCAATGTGATGGACCTGGCAGCACACTCATCTTTGCTTCCCTGAATTTTACATGAAAGGGTCTTCTGATGGCTCTTCCATGTTGGAGTAAAGGTCAGATATCTAACCTTAGAGTCTTGTTCCACTTCTGTTGGATTCTGTATACCATCTGGAGGGTATTGCCACTGGAGACCCTTATTACAAGAGCCTTTAGTTCTACAAGTCAAGCTGATGTTTTTTCCCTCGTGGCTGACCGGGTTTCCCTCAAGACTAATGCTACAAGGGTTTTCTTTAAAAAAAATTGAAAACAAAAAGAGCTGTTGGATTGGACTGAGGGATATCATATTTTGAACACACAATTTCTGTTCCCAGTTTATGTTTGACTGCTTAAGTTGTTCATTAAAAAGAGAACATTAGAAAACAGGACATTTTTTCAATGAAAGGAAAATTAAAATAATGAATGTGAAGTTTAACTATGAAATGCTGCCTTTAGGTAGACTTGAGTTTCCAGTGATGTAGTCATGTTCCTGCTTTATGCAATCAAATAAATATCTTAAAAGTAAATGGAATAAAGTTACTTCAATAGTATGATTAATTTTACTTTTTTACCTCACAAAATAGAATGTACTCCTGTTCTGGATATTTACCATGGAGTAGATTTAAAGAATTCAAAGACAATATCATTTCCTAATAATATTTGTACAATATTGATAGTGGGACCTTCTACTTGTTGTTATTATAACTCAATTCACAGATTATAATCTAAAATGTTTTTTTTCTTCATTGGGGAATAAGGAATACATCAGCACACAAACTGGAATAAAAGGAGAATCCTTCCAAAGAGCACACAAAATCCTATGTAAGTGGAGGTTTTATGAGATTTCTTCTTTGGGAGGACAAATTCATTCTACTTGTTTTAGGGTTATACAACTGTAAGTGGTGAGATATTAATTATAAATGAATCCATAGTCAGGCATGCATTAGATAATTGTTCTCCAAACATTTAGCCCAGGCTAGGAATCTAACACGTGTGTTAAAAACTTAAAGTCAGTTATCATGATATTGCTACTTTATTTTAAGTTGTTCTGAACTGTAATGGATATGCCTAGCAAATGACTTACCTTTGACTGTAAGCAGAACTCTATCGCTCATCCACTTGTAAGTAGAACCCACATAGTACCTGAATGAATACTTTCCAGTATCTTCTTTTCTCAAATTACTCAGCTTTACATCACAGGGTGTAAAGGTTTCAGCCTTTCTTATAAAATTAAGGTCACCAAGGTATTCAACACGTCTGGCAAATTCTGGGTCCACAGATGATATGATATCGCTGAATACAATTGTTCCCTCAAAATCCTTCTTCTCGTTATTGTATATTGCATCCTTAAACCATATGATGCGCTGATGGTTTTCTTGAGGCTGTATTTTATTCATTGGTTTAAAGAAGCATGGCACTACTACACAAGAGCTCTCATCCACTGATATGGTGGTATTTGGAATTTTTAAACGGGAAAAGGAATCTTTGAAGTAAAAAGACAAAACAATTTAATGGTTGTTTGTAAAATGAATCAAATTCTTTTCATTCTCTCCAAGCAACATACTTCCACAGGCATCTAGTTATTGGACTCGTTGTGTGTTATGCAGCACAAAATGATAAAAATCAAATAGAAAATGCAAAAAAGCAATAGCATTTTGAAGTCACAAATGTTTCTCTCCATTTAAATGTGTGTTAATCTATGGAGTGATCTCCAGTGCTGTAGCTTTGTTTTTTGCTTTCAGGACATGTTGTGTAGGAGGCTGGGTACTGTTAGTAATTACAATATTAAAGTATTTATTTTTGAT